AGCGCGGGAGTTAAGAGCATGGGACAGTGATTACCTGGGTGAGCTCACGCGGTGTATTTTAATGTCTCTGAGCCTAGTTTCTTGAGCTGTAAGACAGGGATAAAGGCAGTGGTTCTTTTAAGGTTGTTGTGAGGTAGTACATGGTAAAGGTGTTAGAAGAATATAAAATGTGCTTAGGGTTAGCCATTATCTATTAAATTATCTATTATCTATTATCGCTATTATCATCAGGCTGTGGATCATCCAGAAGAGGTCCAGGGGAGAGAACCCAAAGGTGGAGGTACAGAAGAGATGGCGAAGGGCCTCCTGTACCCTACCAGGGAGTTTGTAGGTGGTGGACAGCTTATTGGAGAATTTAAGGAGGGGTTGACTTTTACGTTCCCATCCCTCAGCAGGAGCAGGGTCCTGAGTCACCACCTTGCAGAATTGGTAGATCCCCCTAGTGGCACTGTGGAGAATGCAGTGGGCGAGGAAAGTAAGGGGAGAGGCTTCTGGGGTGATGCAAGCATGCCACTGCCTTAGGTTAGATATTCATTGCAAGGAAATGGAGAGAGGGGACAGATGAGAAAATATTTAGAAAGTCAAAGATAGAGAAGTTCAGGACTAAAGGATAGAGTCAGGGATAACTCCCAAGTATCGGACTTTCTTTCTGTTCCTTCATCACACTATATTCATTCAGGCCTCAGGACCTTTGCACTTACTATTTCTGCAGCCTGGAACATTTTCTCTCTCACATGTTGAAGTGGCTCCTTCATACCATTTGCTTTTTTTTTTTTTTAATTTTTTTTAATGTTTATTTATTTTTGAGACAGAGAGAGACAGAGCATGAATGGAGGAGGGGCAGAGAGAGAGGGAGACACAGAATCGGAAGCAGGCTCCAGGCTCTGAGCCATCAGCCCAGAGCCTGACGCGGGGCTCGAACTCACGAACCGTGAGATCGCGACCTGAGCTGAAGTCGGACGCTCAACTGACTGAGCCACCCAGGCGCCCCATACCATTTGCTTTCAATTTGGATGTCACCTCATCAATTAGCTGTCCCCTAACCACTGCCTGGGTACTCTCAAGGTTGAAACCCCATTTTAATTTTCTTTTCTTTCTTTCTTTTTTTTTTTTAATTTTTTAATGTTTATTTTATTTTTGAGGGAGAGAGAGACAGAGCATGCACAGAGGAGGGGCAGAGAGAGAGAGAGTCACAGAATCGGAAGCAGGCTTCAGGCTCTGAGTTGTCAGCACAGAGCCCAACACAGGGCTTGAACTCACAAACTATGAGATTGTGACCTGAGCCAAAGCTGACGCTTAACCAACTGGGCCACATAGATGCCTCCGTTTTTTATTTTATACCACTTGTCACCATCTGAATTGATCTGGCTTGTTTATTCATTTATTATCTCAACATATGAACTGCATGAGAGCAGGGACCTTTTCATGTTCACAGTTGTGTACTCAGTGCCTAGAACAGTGCCTGACATATAGTAAGCACTCAGTACAAATTTGTTGAATGAATAAATACAAGGAGAGAAGGTTAGATGGCTTGGGTGACCATGGAGTTTATATGCAGGGTTACAGGTAGTGGTTTCAAAAAGCAACCAAAAGAATAGGTGTCAGGAAAAGGACATCCAAATACCGGGAGACCCCCAGGTAATGAGACTCACATAGGTGGTTGGGTAATTGGGACTCAGCATCAAGGGTCCTCACGTTCTCCAAGAGTGTGTCAGGTGGGAAAAGGTCAGAGACCTGCTGTCTCCCCACCTTGAGCTGGTTGGGACCTTGCCTGACTATCAAACCTCCTGCTAGGGCCTTGTTTCTGGAGAGACTCCTGTATTATTAGCTCATCAGGAGTGAATGCTCAAGCCCTTCCTGCCCCGCTTCTCCAACAGCCCTTAGCCTCTCAGAGGCCCCTTCCCCACTGTAGGAAGCTCTCCAGCGTTCTGGGCATAGAAGCCCCGGTGAGTGGGATTCCATATCTTTACCAGAGAGTGACAATACAGACATGAAGATAGTCATTCTGCGTGAAGGGCAGCAGCTCAGGGAGGGGGGCCACCAGAGAACCTTGGGGGCTTCTAGCTTCTTGCAGGAAGCGGGAGGATTGGAGGAAGGTCTTGTATCCCTGTGGGCAGTGAGGTGGGAGATAGCCTGGGACCCAGGGAGTATGGCTCCACAGCCGACTCTCTCCCTCCACAGGATGCTGCTGAGGCTGGAGCCAGGTCTGGCTATCGTGGCCGCCGCTCCCCTCACACCCCCCATGAACGCTTTGAGGGGCTCACAGTGCTCAAGGCTGCCCAGGTGAGAGGAAGCCCCCCTGCCCTGGTCTGAAGCCCAGAACCGGAGAAGAGGGTACACAGGAGGCTGGGAACCCGGGCCTGGGCCTCTCCTGTGGAAGGGCTCTCCGGAGACCGAGAGCACCCGAGTCCTCTGCCTAGAGTTGGGGGTGGGGCAGGCGTTCCGAGACGTAGGGACCTGGGTTATGGTCACAGAGCCAATGGAAGGGGCAGTTTGGGCTGATGGACAGAGCCGGTTGCTGAGACTCCAAACCCGTGGGTGGAGAGCAATGGAAGTAGGGCAGGGGCTGGGGCTGGGCTGTCCTTCCATGGTCCCCTCCTTTCCCGCCCTTCCTTTCTCCGCTTGCAGCTGGCCCGGGCCGGGGCCGTGGGCAGTCAGGGGGCTAAGCTGCTTCTGGAGGTGAGCGAGCGCGTGCGGACGTTGACACAGGCCTACTTTTCCCCAGAGCGGCCCCTGCATCTTTCCTTCACCCACCTGGTGTGCCGGAGTGCCATAGAAGGTAATCGCCAGGAACCCCAGCTGTTCCTCCCCAACCTCGAGCCCCTGTTGGGCACTGCACACCCTCAGCAGCCCCCGCACTCTGTGGGTTTTCTGACTCCCCTGCCCCGGTGAGGGCCTGGCTGCTCGACCCGGCAGTGATCCCCCGAAGCCTCAGGGTGGGTGTGGATGGCAGCGGATGGGCCCCGGGGGTGTTCACCAGGCCCCTTTGCTTCCCAGGAGAGCAAGAGCAGCGCATGGACCTGAGTCACCCGGTGCACGCAGACAATTGCGTGCTGGACCCCGACACTGGGGAGTGCTGGAGGGAGCCCCCGGCCTACACCTATCGTGACTATAGGTGGGCGCCCCCCACCCCCAGGGGTCAGGCAGGCGGGCCTGGGTTGGGGGTCTCACTGCCTGCTGTCTCCTTCCCTTTCCAGTGGGCTCCTCTACCTCAATGATGACTTCCATGGTGGGGACCTGTTCTTCACAGAGCCTAACGCCCTCACGGTCACAGTAAGCAGGGTAGGGGGTGTGGGGGTGTCACAGGGAGCCCAGCTGTGGACTCAGGATTCAAAACAGAAGGTTCCCAGAGGCAAATGCAGGGAAATGGCCTGGGGTCACCTTAACCCTTTCCTTTCCTGGCCTCCCCAGCCCTTTCCACCACTGGTCTGTGTTCAGGGGCTCTCTTAGAGGTTGATTACCCCTCCTCAGGGGATCTCGAGTGGCCCCTCCACACCCTGCCTTCAGTGTTTGCCTCACCTCCTTAGGTAGAGTGGGTAAAGCACAGGACCCCCAACCCTATTCCAGGCATAAACCAGGGGCTAGAATTGGGCAGAAGGAGAGGGGCAGTGAGTTTTCATCATTTATTCCTCCATTTTACCCACTTAGCTTCTTCTCCGCTAATGCCAGCTACTGATAATCCAAGGCCTCCTTGAGGTGGAAAAATGTCCCCAAGATCCTTATCCCCAGTACCCAGAGTCTGGTACTGCATTCGCACCCTCAGATTGCATCACCCTGGGTCCAAAGGGTTGGGCAGGGGTTGGGAAGGGACTGGCAGGAGGCCCTCCATGGAGGCCCCTTTTCTTTAGCTCCCAACTCCTCTAGCCTTGGTCTGGCACTTGTGCTCCTCAGGTTGAGGCCGATTTCTCATTTCCCCCAAGATAGGCCCATTCCCTGAATGGGAAGTGATGGGTAGGAGAACTGAACATTTTGTGCCCCTGCCCCCATCCTGCTCTAGGCAGTCGGGGCCAAGTTCTCTGAGAGCACCTATCCCTGGAGCTGAACCTGCCCTCACCCCCCAGGCTCAGGTTCGTCCTCGCTGTGGACGCCTCGTGGCCTTCAGCTCCGGTGGGGAGAATCCCCACGGTGTGTGGGCTGTGACGCGGGGACGGCGCTGCGCCCTGGCACTGTGGCACACCTGGGCACCTGAGCACAGGGAGCAGGTGAGGAGGAGCGGGAGCAGGAAGGGATGGCCCTCCTGGTGTGTGAAGGATGAGGGGCGGGGGCTGAGATGCCCCAGGGAGGGTCCTTGGGGCAAGGCGATGCAGGGGATTGGGCCAGACTCTCCTCCCCACTCCCTAGGAGTGGACAGAAGCCAAAGAGCTACTGAAGGAGCCAGAGGAGGAAGAGGAGGAGGAGGAGGAAGAGGAAGAAACGCCAAGCAGAGACCCTTCCCCAGAACCCCCCAGCCGCAGGCTTCAGCGGGTCCAGGACAGAGTTGGGAAACCACCTCGGGTCCGAGAGGAGCTGTGAGGGACTGAGCCAGCTCCGTGGGGAGGTGGCCACTTGACTTGTGAAGGGCCACCTTGATGCCAGGACCCACGAGAAGCCCCCATGTGATGAGAGCAGAACAGCGAGCTCTCTGTCCCTGCACCCCTACTCCCTTGGGGATCACGAGGGCTGCCCAGCCCTGGACTCAGAGGACAGTGCACAGACGAGCCTAGAGCTCACGAGGCCTGGCTGATGGACCTCCAGCCCTAGGACAGACCGAGGACACTATGCCTCCCTGGAAAGAAATGGCAGGGATAGGACCCGACTGCTTCCATTGTGGAGGATGAGAGGGAGGATAGCCCCAGTGCCCTGTCCCAGCCTGTAATAAAGAGCTGAAGATCCCTCAGCCAGGGCCCGATGGAGTGTATCACAGTTTCTCTGGTGTCTGCAGAGGGGAGTGGCTGTGGCTGGCCTGGGAGGAGACAGGTGTCTTTGGGCCTCCCAGAGGCGGGGCCACTCAAAGCCTGTGATTTGTCAGGGAAATCTCGGCCACCTGCTCCCCGCATGCAAATGGACCTAAACCCCTGACAGCTGCTCCTTGGGCCTCCAACTCTAAGCCCCGTCTTCCCTCTCTGAGCTTGACCGAGACATAGGGCAGCCTGATCCCTCTGGTTCCAGCCTTCACAGCCCCAGCAGGACTCCGTGAGTCATGGGGGCAAGGAGTGGGCCAAACCCCAGATGGGAGCGGGGTCGGGGTTGCTCCCCGCTTCCCACCCTTGGTCCACTCAAAGCAGGGACAGGCCCGTCCATCTTCCTCTCTGGATCCCCTGTGCCTTTCCCCACCCCCCAGGATCAGACCCAGGGGCAGCTGGTTGGGGTTTGTTGAGAAGAAGGATTATCCAGATCAGTCCCTTCTAATCTCAGCTCCTGCCTGCACCCTCCCCATATTCACCGTAACCCTCTTACCCCCCTTCCCCACAACTCTGAACTAAGAGTCAAAATCTTGGGCATTGACGATGAGCCACCTCTCACCCTCCTATTCTGGCTCCTGGACTGGTTGCTAGGCAGGCCCTGACTGCCACGATCATCAGCGTTGGTGGGGGCAAGGGCCTGGCGGGGTGGGGGGTGGGGGGGCTAGAGCTGTGGTTGCTTCTGCTCTTCTGCCCCCCTCCCAAACCCCAAACTTTAATCCTCACAGCTTTGCTCTAATCCCATGGGGCCTGATGCTCTTATCTCTGCCTACAGGGAGACTGGCCCAGGAAGCACTCCTCAGCCCCTCTTCCCTCCAGGGCTTGTGAGGGGCTGCTCCTCTCTATAGCCCCACATCCCTGTTCCCACCTACCCACCGCCCCAGGCTGGGCCCAAGTCTCTCTGGAAGCCGCACACCTCCCTTCCTGCCCTCTCCCCACACCGTTGCCAGCTGATTTCATTTGCCTGACGTCGTCGTTGTCGCTGCCCTACCCTTCTCGGCCGGCCCCCCCCCCCCCCCCCCCCCCCCGAGTTGGGGCCAGGCCAGACGAGCTCCTCTGGCAGCAGAGCCGGGGCAGGTGACGGGTTGGCGTCGCAGCTGAGGGAGTGAGGAAGCGCCTGGAAACCTGGGAGAGGTCCAGTCAGAGATCAAGTAAGAGGGGGCTGGCCTGGCTCGGCTGTCTGGGGCTGGGGGCTGCAGGGAGGGCTCGGGCAGGGCTGGGCTTGGCTGTGCAGGGCTCCAAACGTGAAGGGGCTGGTGGGGCGGTGGTGCAGGCCACCCAGTCGTCTCTCAATTTCTTGTAGTGGGTTCCAGCCCCTGAGTCAGGTGCGGGGGAGAGGACAGAAACGTGGCCTGGTGGGGACCCCCCCCCCCTACGCTTACCCCTTGTTCCCGACAGGAGCCGGAGCTACCCCTCAACCTGTCAGCCATGGGGGAAATGGAGCAGCTGAGGCAGGAAGCGGAGCAGCTCAAGAAGCAGATTGCCGTAACCCCAGAGCCCTTCCACAGGGGGACCCCAGAAAACATGGAACTGGGGACACGAGGGAGTGTGGATGGGGGGGGGGAAGGGGGCTGGATTTACTCTTGAGTGACACCTTAGAGACCCCTGACCTGGAAGTGGCCAGAGACTTTCTGAACGTGGATCTCAAATTTGAGACGTCCCCCAAACCCTAGAGCCCCGAAGCCCACCTACCTCAGAGGCCCATGCACCCACTACCCTCACCTTGTGTTGATGCTCCCCTGATGTCTGCTTCTCCACCCGCCCCCTCCCCAGGATGCCCGGAAAGCCTGTGCTGACATTACTCTGGCAGAGGTGAGACCTCCTGTCCTACCCCCTAAGGCAGGGCCGGAGGGCACGGCAGGGGAGGGGAGGGAAGCTCCCTGGTGCCCAAGCTTTAGTACAGCGTGTCCCTAGAATGAGGAACCACATTGATTAATTCATTCAACAAACATTTAGTGAGATCTGCTGTGGGCCAGCCCCTTACTGGAAGCTAAGAATGCAGATGATGTCCCTGTCCTCACCCATAACACAAGAATGATCACATGCTCTCACAGGGTGGTGAGGATGAGGAGAGGGACGGTGCTTTGCAAATCACAAAGCCCTTATAGTCCAGTTACTAGTTTTCTAATCGTGTCCTTCACCAATTCTAAGGGCACATCTTTTCACATTGTGACATCTCTGAGATCAAGATGCGTCCAAAAATAGATGATGCCTTACATTTATAATGGGCAACATGTTTTCTTTCTCAGTGATACCTAGAGGCCTGGTGCTTCTTGGAGTTGGTGGCACCTTATATTGGGTTAAATATGTTAATAGTAAGAGGGAACATTTACTGAACACTTGCCGCGAGCCAAACACTGGGCTAAGTTGCTTAGATACGTAACTGCGTTTAATTTTCACGACGACACCATGAGTTGATGCTACAAACCTCATTTTGCAGATGAGGAAACAGGATCAGAGAGGGCGAGTAACTTGCCCAAGATACCAAAGCAAGTAAATGACAGGTCAAGGCCACTGGCTCGAGCCTGAGCCGAAGTCTAGAAGCTGGATAGAATTTAAGAGACATAGGACCACAAATTTCAGGAGGTGCCGTTCAGGGTCATGGGGCTGCCCTGGGTGCCCAGGGAAAGAGATAACCATGCTGCAGGTGTTGTATGGGACCCAGCTCCCAGTGGCTTGGGACCGCGAATGTGTGCGTCTCTTCCCAAGTCCGTGTTTGGTGACTTCACACTGGCAGCTTGAAACTGGTCAAGGTGGGACTATTTACATGACAGAAATCATTCTCTCTTGTCTCCTCCTCCCCCATCCCGCACTGGAGAGGTGCTTGTCAAACACCTAGTGACGTGCCACTAGCCATGCATGGTCTCTCCCACATCAATTGAAGCCACTCCAAGGCAGAGACTTATTTCTCTAAGGCTGGAGGCCTGACCCAGAGCCTGGCACAGAACAGAAACTTGTGCAGATCAGTGGTTGCGACACTGACATCTAGGTAGGTGTTCTACTCACCCTGATTTCTAGTGCCCCCTTTTCTACAGCTGGTGTCTGGCCTAGAGGTCGTGGGGAGAGTCCAGATGCGGACAAGACGGACGTTAAGGGGACACCTGGCCAAGATCTATGCCATGCACTGGGCTACCGACTCCAAGTGAGACTTGAGAGGCACCCAGAGGTCGGGGGTGGGGAGGCAGGAAGGAGAGGCTTGGGTGACATGGGGTGCTCTCTGCCCAGGCTGCTCGTAAGTGCCTCGCAAGACGGGAAGCTGATTGTGTGGGACACCTATACCACCAATAAGGTAGCTGCCCCCCACCCCTCCATCCCCCTGTCCTTCCTTTGGGGCATTCGTTGTACCTACCCTCCCCTGCCCCTCCCCACCTGGGAGCTCTGCTCAGGTCCTGCCTCTGTCCACCCTCCCACAGGTGCATGCCATCCCCCTGCGCTCCTCCTGGGTTATGACCTGTGCCTATGCCCCGTCAGGGAACTTTGTGGCATGTGGGGGGCTGGACAACATGTGCTCCATCTACAGCCTCAAATCCCGTGAGGGCAATGTCAAGGTCAGCCGGGAGCTGTCTGCTCACACAGGTAAGTGGGAGACCCTCTCTTCCAGTCCCTGTTGCGAGAAGCCCAGGGAAGCCCCAGCACCAGGGTGCTGTGGGCCTGCAGCCAGGGCGCTGTGTTGACCACCCCCAGGTTATCTGTCTTGCTGCCGCTTCCTGGACGACAACAACATTGTGACCAGCTCTGGGGACACCACTTGGTGAGGACAGAACACCGTGGGTGCCGGGGCTTGGGGTGCAGCTCTGTCCTGGCCTTTCTGTGACAGTGTGACAGCTTCCTCTCCTCCGGCAGTGCTCTGTGGGACATTGAGACTGGGCAGCAGAAGACTGTGTTTGTGGGACACACAGGGGACTGCATGAGTCTGGCCGTCTCTCCTGACTTCAAACTCTTCATTTCGGGGGCCTGTGACGCCAGCGCCAAGCTCTGGGACGTGCGGGAGGGAACCTGTCGGCAGACATTCACTGGCCATGAGTCGGACATCAACGCCATCTGCGTGAGCCCCGCTCTGCACCCCAGCTCCCGGGAACCCCTCACCACACCCAGCACGTGCATCCTTCATCCCGGCCCAAGCTCCCTACCCCTTTCTTTTTTAACTTTCCTCTTTGGCATAAGTTCACCTTACAGAAAAGTTTCCAGAGTAACCAAAAAAGTTCCCACCTACCCTTCACCAGGATTCACTGCTAACATTTTACCACATTTGCTCTATCATTCTCTCTCCGTAGAGGGAGGGAGGGAAGCATGGAAAGACAGACAGACACATACACCTAGATGTGGCTACAGATACATTTTATTAGTTTTTTCCCCTCGGTCTTTTGAGAGCAAGTTGCAGATTATCATGACTCTTTACCCCTTAAATACTTCAGTGCATGTTTCCTAAAAACAAGGCCATTTTCTTCTGTAGCCACAGTATAATTCTTAAAATCAGATTTAACATTGACACGATATAGTCTATCGTCTATATTCAAATTTCACCAGTTATCTCAAAAATAATAGCAACGGTTTGGCTTTGTTTTGTTTCTGTCCAGGGACGTGTATTGCATTTCCTTGCCATATCTTTTCAGTTACCTTTAAACTGGAACCTTTTTTCTACTTTTGTCTTTCGTGACGTTGACATTTTTGAAGAGTACAAACCAGTTTTCTTTAGGCTTTCCGTCCATTTGAGTTTATCTGACATTTCATCGTGATGAGATTCAGGTCATGCATTTGCACTTGGCCCCGTACTTCCACGCTCTGATCCAGCCTGGAGCCTGGAGTCTGGGACAGCCGCCGCCCTTCTAGCCATGTGACCCTGGGCAAGCTGCCCGCCCTCCCTCAGCCTCAGGCTCTCGCCTGCAATGTGGAAATAAAGCCTGCCTGCCGCGCTGTAGTGAGGGGCAGGTGAAGGGTGTAGGGGAGCCGCTGGCATGTGGCTGGCGTGGGATAAATGTCAGCGGTGAAGAGCGCTGGGGGACGGATAGGCAGAGAGGCTGTTCTGGAGGCACCAGGGCAGGAGCCAGGGAGAGAGCAGGAGAGGTAGCGGGCTGCCCAGGTCTGAGTCCTGACCTCCTTGCCACCTGTACCCTCAGTTCTTCCCCAACGGAGAGGCCATCTGCACAGGCTCAGACGACGCCTCCTGCCGCCTGTTTGACCTGCGGGCAGATCAGGAGCTGACTGCCTACTCCCACGAGAGCATCATCTGTGGCATCACATCCGTGGCCTTCTCCCTCAGCGGCCGCCTGCTCTTCGCAGGCTATGATGACTTCAACTGCAACATCTGGGACTCCATGAAGGGCGAGCGTGTGGGTAAGGGCTGCCCCCGCCCCCCCACACTTCTGCCACCTCAGCTGGAAGGACCTTCCTACTAGCTTCCTTCCTTGGGACCCTCTCACCACTGTTCCCTAATTCCTGGATGACTCTGAGCTCTATCCCTAGAATCTAGTCCTCCTTGGCTCCCAATCTAGGGCCATCTTCTCTAGTGGCCCTTCTCCACCACCTAATGAGATAGCTGCTTCCCGTGAAAGGAGCTTCTGTGTCACCCCAGACCTGTGGACCTTGAATGTCCAGTCACTTCTGGATTTCCAGGGCCTCTGCAGTTTCAGGGGCATCCACTGAAGGAAAGGGCAATCTCAGGAAACTGCAAGAAGCCCCATCAAGGAGGTCTAGAGTGACCTCAGGGCCCTGACCCCAACCTAGGGGCTTTATCTAGGACTACCCTGGTCTGAAGTTGAATCAGATGGGGTGGCTTCTTCTCTTGGGAGAGGCCACGTGCTGAATGAAAACAACACTGGCCAGAGGGTCAGGATCCAAATCTGAATTCTGTCCCTTAGGCTCTCAGGGCCCTCGGGAAAGTCACTTCTCTCTGGGCCTCAGTCTCTTTATTTGGAAACATAGTAATGAGACTAAAGAGCTACCTCCCCATTTTCTAGGGCCCATCAAGGTGCCCCTGGCTTTTTTCACAGCACACTGACACTGCCAGCCTTCTCCTGTCCCTCCCCGCCCCGCACCCCGCCCACCCTCCACAGACATTGGCCTCGAGAGAAATCCTGCCCCTTAGGGCTAATCCTCTTTCAGTCCCCACCAGGGGCTCAGAGTCCATGGCCAGTCTAACCTAGAATTCCTACATGTGCACATGAACTGTCTGCCAAAGCAGGCTGACTCCTCTCCCTCTTTCTCAGGCGTCCTCTCTGGCCACGACAACAGGGTCAGCTGCCTGGGGGTCACAGCTGACGGGATGGCTGTGGCCACTGGCTCCTGGGACAGCTTCCTCAAAGTCTGGAACTAAGGAGGCTGGAGGAGGGGAGGTAAAAGGCCACGAAGACACAGCTGCCCCTCCCCTGCCCAATTTTTTTCTAAGGTTTCTTTAAGTTTTCTCTTCTATACCCTAGCTGCCATTCCCACCCAGCTTTGTCCCTTGAGGGCGGTGGGGAAAAATGGGGAGTCTGTCTTTGGGAGGCATTATCAGGGACACGGGGGCAAAGAACTGCCCCATCTCCTCCCATGGTCTCCCCTCTCCACGGTCCTGCAGCTTCTCCCTTAATAAGCAAGGACAACTGACCCCTCCCCAGCCCTTGGCAAGCCTAACAGGCTTCCAGTCTGAGGCCCCAGGCCCTAGAATTCCTCCCCCCAGAGCGACTACCTTTATCCAGATCTGGGTGGCAGAGAGCACTCAGCCCTGTGACTACGGCTCTGGCGCCACTAAGATCCTGTCCTTTGTCTCCTTCATGATCTCTCCCTTTTCTACCTTCTTTATTTCTCTCCTAAAGCACCTGCAATAAAGTGTACAGGCCTGGGATGTCTGGCTTCTGCCCCACTTCTGTTCCAAAAAGATGCAGGTCTAACTCAAGTAATAAAGCATTATAGGTGCAGGGATGAAGGTTGGGTACCAGACAGCTTGTGGGCAGAGTAGGGTGGAGGCAGAAGCCCAAGCCTCACAGAGAAGGCCTGAGACAGGTCAGGTGGAGAAGGTGCTCACCAGGTGGCTGGGGGAGCATACACACAATAGTTCACTACAACCTGCCTATGGTGCGTCTCTACAGGAAGGTTATATTGAGAAGGAATGGGGTTATAAAAGACCCTGAATGCCAGGCTAGGGTGTAGACTTTATCCTAAGGGCAACGGGGAACAACTGAAGAGTTTTGAGCAGAGTAGTTTCACGGTCACGTGCTTCTCAGAAAGGTCACCCCTCAGGCGCCTGGGTGGCTCAGTCAGTCGACTCCTGATTTCAGCTCAGGTGGTGATCTCACATTTCGTGAGTTTGAGGCCCACATCAGGCTCTGTGCTGACAGCGAGGAGCCTGCTTGGGATTCTCCCTCTCTCCCTCCCTCTGCCCCTCCCCTGCTCACGCTCTGTCTGTCTCTCAAAATAAATAAACACCACTTAAAAAAAAAAAAAAAAGAAAACTAAAAGAAAAAAAAAAAAAAGAAAAAGAAAGGTTGCCCTAGCAGCGGTGTAGGTTGATGAAAAGGTGAGAGTCGAGACTGGAGAGAAACAAGGCAGGAGGTAGATGGCAAGAAATGCAAGAGCCATAGGACAGGGGGCAGGGAAAAGGATGGGGAAGAGGTTAAAGAATACAGAATCACCAGGATTGAGTGCCAAGTGCCAGGATATGGGATGTTAAGAGGGAAGGATTCAAGATAATGGCCAAGGTTCAGGTTTGGGCAACTGGGTGGATAACGCGGTTATTTACAGGGATAGAGAGCAGGGGATGAAGAATAGCTTTGGGGGCGGCAGGGGCAGGGAGGGCGGATTACAAATTCAACTGTAGACAAACTACCTGTCAAGTGCCTGGGGCACTTGGATAAAGGTCAGGGTTAGAGAGATCCGGAAGTTACTAGAATATAAGAAAGTGATACCTAAATCCCTAGAAGTGAACACCTAGAGAGAGCAAGAGGAAAAGGCCAAGGACAGAGCCCCGGGGGAACACTAGGATTTAAGGGAAGTGTATAGAAGAGGCCTGGAGGACAGGGAACACAAGTTTCTCAGGCTGCTTTTCTACATACAGAAGCCCAGCACAAGGTTTAGGCATAACACTTAAAAGCATAATTTAAAATCACTTTCTTTAATATACAAGAAACACACAAGACACAAATAAAGCCTAAGAAAGTGCTCGGTCCCCCGAGTTAGTAGTTTAGGGGGAGTGGAAGACAACGAGCCTTTCCAGTCTCCCAGGGAAAGAAGGGGCTGTGAGGACACAACATTCACCAGGCCCCTGGTGAACCCGGTGCTGGGGCCACGCACGGCCTAGTTCTCCACCAAGTTTGGAAAGTGCTGATTTTCCTTGTCCTGGTCCTGGCCCTGCTCCCACACTCGGCCTCCGGTTTCCAGAAGTCGTCCAGTTCCCAGAATGGCCCCTTCCTTTAGTGCCCTAGCATTTTCACTCAGGGGAGGAGGCCGCTTACCCTGCCAAAAGCAGTGTGTGAGTTGGAGGAGGGAGGGGGGTTGTTCAGGACAGGGAAGATTGGGTAGAAAGGACTCCCACCCTCTACCTCTCTATCCTGGGGTTCCTAGTAACAGCTTTCACCCTCTCTCCTTTTACCTGTCGTGGTGTCAGAGTTCCGGGGGAGTTGTCATCATGTAGGATGGTGAGGGGAGATCTCCCTAGTACCTTGCCATTTCCTTTCCGTCTATTGTGCTTAGAACCTAGGGTGGGTAAGGAGTTAAAGCCAAAACCCAAATTAGGGGTTTACACTTTATTCCTCCTACACTCATCCGTGGACATTATCCCAATTTCTCTTCCCTATCCTTGCCCTTAGGTTCTGTACCTGAAGATCGGGGAGTCTCAGGGTCTCTTAAGGGCTTGTCTGAGCCCTGGCTGGCCGTGGGGGGTTGTGAGGGCTGTCCTGCTTCCTCCCTGGAGGACACCTGCTTGGGGGGGAGCTCAGTCTGGCTCCAGAGTGGCATCCGGTCCTCAAGGGAAAACTGGGTGCCCAGAGGCAAGTTCAATTCGGAAGGTGAAGTTGCCTCTAGGGGCAGAACAAGCTCTGGAGGACGATTCAATTTGGAGGCTTCTTTCTCAAAGACTTCATTCAGCTGTTTCGCCAGTGGGCTTGGGGGCTCTAAACAGAAGTCAAGTGAGATAGTGACCCTATGATACAAATCATTCAGCAAGAAGAATACATATAGGAACTTTAGGACTCATGCTCTAGTGGGTGAGGGATTGATTGGGAAGAGAGAAATCGAGGGAGAAAATGTTGAGAGAAGAGTGAGATTGGCTCAATCAAAAGAATGGAGGCTCCTTTGAGCAGGAGCTCTGGGAAAATGGCTTCATTGGCCCAACCCAAGGGTGCTAGGTGACAGCCTTACCAAAATTCCCTGGGCCCACCATTTACCTCCGCTGCTGGTCTTCATAGGTGTCCGTGCAATGCCAAGGGTAGGAGAGCGGGGATCTGAGTCTTGGGCCTCATTAGGACACTCCAACTGCTCCCCTGCTGGTAGGGTTGACTGTGGAGAGCTCTCCACCTGGCAGAACCAAAAGCTAAAACAAGTCTGGACCCCGACTCTTCTTCCCTCCCAGGTCTCTAGCCCCAGGTTGATATTCCAGGCAGGTATTGTCAGGGCCCTCAGGCATTCAGCCTACCCCAACCGGATTAAGAAAGTGGAAAATAAGGTGTCAAATTAGAGGGAGGAGGAGGGTGTGAGGGCTTTCTCAGAATCAGGTTAGGCAGAGGCCCAAGAATTCAGACTCTGCCCCCGCCCCTCCGCCCCAGAGTACCTGGATGGGAGTGCGCAAGATGCCGGCACTAGGTGAACGGGGGTCCGCCACTCGAGCCAGAAGCTTGTTGTGCGGCGGAGGCCGCGCCGGGGTGACCGGGGAGCTCTTGGCTGAGCCCATCTCAACCAGGAGAAAGAAGGTGGGGCGGGGCCCGGCCCGGGGCGAGGAGGGGACGCCTGTGAGAAATGACTCAGGTCTCAGCCATTACCGCGACCGCGTCCGATCTCTTGCCTCCAGACCACCCGATCTTCCCTGCTCCCAGCTCAGGAACCTCCCCGCCGCTGGGCCAGAGGCCTCTGTGGAAACAACGACTGTTGCAGCTGACAAGCCAGCTCCTTGCGAGCCTGCTGGGCCCTCTATTAATTTATTCCAATCACTTACCGGGCCCCAATTCCTCTTCGGGATGCACAGAAGCTCGAGCCTCAACTCCCGACGCCGAGTTTCAAACCTCCCGCCACGCCCCCTGCCTTGACTCTATTGGTTGAGCCGACGCAGACGCCAATAGGCCCCCTATATGAGACCCGCCTCCTGTGAGGAGGCCATTGGGCTCGGAGGACGTCTGTCATGAGGACAGTGGGGCCAATGAGCAGCGGCCTGGCTTGCTCAGGGGTGACACCTCCCTGAATACGGGACTTTTGTTCCGCCACCGGCTGCGAGTTGTCCATCGTGAGACTCTGAGGAGTGCCAGTCTTCGGTTTTCAGACCTCCAGTTTCAGAACCAAATGATTTTATTCAAAAAATAGAATCATGAATTATGACGCTATTATGTACATATCTGGCTGGCGCTGTAGTTATGAAGGTTTTTCTCAGGCGAGATGGTAATCCTTATTGGTCGACGGAGTTATCAATCACTCGACACTAACCCTCTCAAACTCCGCCTCATTGGACAGCCCCTTTTCAAATAAAAAGACTACAACTGCCCTTCTATTTTCCGATTGGACAAGACCCAGGAAAGTTTCTGGGATTGATTGGTTTAAACAACCGTCAGTTTCTGCTCTGATAGAAGGCACGCGAAAGGACTGTAGGGGTCCCAGAGTACAAGCGTCCAAAACTCCCGGACCCACCTCGCTGCTCTACATGCGCTCTGCCCTGGAAGAGTGGGATTGGTTCTTCCGACCATCGGTTGCATTAGAAGCGCTTTTCATTGGCGTTACTCAAGAGTAGGGCAGAGGGCGGAGCACTAGTAGGCAGGCTGCGTCCAACTGCCATTCTCGCGCGTCCTCCTTTTAGCGCATGCACCTAACGAGTAGTGCTCATTGGACGGCCAGACTAGGGGGTGGGGGACTGGGAACGGTGGGAGCCGCTGTGTGTGGAGGAGCTGCTGCCGGTGTCATGGCGGAGCTGAGTGAGGAGGCGCTGCTGTCAGTATTACCGACGATCCGGGTTCCTAAGGCTGGAGACCGGGTCCACAAAGACGAGTGCGCCTTCTCCTTCGACACACCGGTAAGCCCATTCCCCACGCCCGCAGCGAGCACGACTTCCTTCCATCGCCCTGGTCATTCTGCCGGGGCCTGCAAGGCTTGGGCTACCGCCTCCCTGCGATGCACCATGGGACTTGTAGTCTCCCACGCTCCTCCCTGCCGTTGCTTTTAATTAGCTGGCGCTGTCGTGTGACTACCGCTCCCGGAAGCCTCCGCGCCCGCCCCACCCGTTCCCCGTCTCGTGGAGCACTGTGGGGATCGTAGTCGCTCACTCCCCTCATTGCCGTTCCAAGGTAGAGGCGCATCCCGCTCGCTGGACTACATCCCCCAAGTGGACCCCTGCGAAAGCCTGGGAGTTGGCCTTGCCTGCCGCGCGCGGCTCTCCGGGTTTTGTAGTCTCGTGTGGGAGGGATGGGGCGACCCTGCACTGTTCTGGGCCGGGGTTTGGGTTGGAGGGTGGGGATTGCAGTTCCTGGGCGCCTAGTAGTCTGGAAGTGACCATGAAGAAGGGCGGTTCTGAGAAAGGCCGACTTAGACTCCACCCATGGTTAATGTGGACAGGGGGCGGGGAGGTGGGTCATTGGTGGTAGGGAGGAGAGGAAAGAAGGGAGGAAAGCTCTAGTCGTTTCTCCTTTGAGGTGAACTATGGCCGCAGCCCCCCTTTTCCCGCCCATCACAGAGAGCACAGGGAACCCTTTTAAAAGTATTCCCAGGGAGATGGTGTCTTTCGTGGAGGATACTAAGACCCTTTTCCCATCCCGCTCCCACTCTTGACTAGTTAGACAAAGCCTCCACCCACACCATGCTTCACGTTTTGTAGGCTCCACCCGGAACCTCCCTTCCTGCAGTTCTGCCTTCCTGTGTCACCGTCAAGCAGAGACTAGCCTTTGGCCTGGCCAGAGCCTGAGCTGAGAAGGCAACAGCAGCCTGGTTGGGATCCGCCCCCCTTACCACCCCTCCCGTCAAGCGGTCGCTGGGCCCTGCCCAGGGTGTTCAGCCAGACCAGCTCGTGGCAGGGAAAACTGCAAGTCAGAGTGGAAAGGCTTCATTAATGCATCGCCAGTGCTGAGTATAGCAGCATGATCTAAGGCCCAGTTCAGGATCATCACTGTCATTTGTGGTTTGCTTGGTTTGCTAGGCTTTGATCTGGGCCTCAGACAATGTGCTGCTTCTCTGGAGTCTGGCTTTGGCAGAGCCAAAAGAGGACTGACTGCTCAGAGCAGAGCTCCAGGGCTCCCAAGGCTGGGGGAAACCCAGCATTTTTATTTCCAGCAGAGGAGTTTGGTTACTGCAGAGCTCCTGCATGCCATCTAGTTCATCAAGTGCATGGCTTGGTCCTGTCTTTCTCAGGAGAGACAGGTTTCTCTTAATTACCAACAGATGGTAGAAGTCAGTGGCTCCCTCTTCACACTCCTGTCTGCCTCTCCTTAGTAACTGCTTCGAATAATCCAAATGGTGTTTTTGTAAGCTTATTATACTTTGCTTCTTTTATCCCAAGTCAAGAGGTCTCCAATGTGGCCTTGTTGCTTTCCTGACCAACTTCCAGCATGTTTGATTATCTTCAAATTCAATTCATGGTAGAAAGCCTGTTTGACCCCTGTGATGAAAAATGCTCCATTTGCCCATGAACATTGCAATCCACACTGTTCTAGGGAGTGGTACAGAGCAATCTATGGGACCAAGAACTGCCTTAGACGGTGCCCTATTTTTCATATCGCAGCAGAGAATTTTTCAAGGCCACTGAGGCATTTATTCGAGGAAGAAGATGCCTGTCGTTGCTTGGATCTGAAGGAAGACTGTTGTTTTCTCCAGTTACCTCCTCTACCTTATCCATCACTATTCACAAAGACACTGGGAGACTTGCTCAGTGTTCGAGAAGCTCATCCTCCTTCCTTAGCTGTGATTTAGGGTGGACCCTTCTCTCCCTGTTTTCTCCCTGCGTTATATGTGTTTGAGTTGTCTCAGCAGGTATTGCTAGATTATTCTAGAGAGGGATTGGCTTTGAGGTTGGCAGTTGATGGACTTCAGTGCGGGATTTAGTTATTGGTCAGAGGGGAGGCAGCAGGGCAGCGGCTGGAGAATGCTGGTCTTCGTGTCCCTGCCGAACCAGGTCCAGGTATAACAGTGAGCCCCAGACAAGGCACTGTTAGCCTGGCTCCAGGCTTTAGCAGGAGAGGAGGGAGAGGACTCAGCATGGACCAGGATTTGACGACCTGGTAGGATGTTGTAAAGGAGAAGTCTGGTCTTCCTGGCAGGCTCAGGAGCTGGGTGTATTGTTCAGGTGCTAGAATCTTTGCTCCTCCAGTCTGGAAAGTTTTCTGAATCCTGGAGATTAGGCAGGGTTTGTCGTGTGTGGGGAGTAGGTTCAGTGTCTGACATGCAGGTCTTTCCTCTCCCGGGAAAGGACCCTTTTTCCCTCTGAATGTAAGCACTGGCCCTGGAAGTCCATGGTATTTGATTCCCATTGGCCTCGTAAAGGAGTTCTCTGCAATTGATTGGAAGGCTCCAAAGCCCAAAGAAGGAGCGAGAAGAAAGAGGAATGGTGACTGACAGGTGTTGCTTAGCTCCTGGTGTCCTTGTTGGTTGGTATCAAAGTCATAGGAGAATGGGGAGAATCTTAGCCATGTACCAGGTCCCAAAAGGCTAAATGACTTGCCAACAGCCACATGGTGGTAGAGAACAGAGCCTTTCTTGTGGAAACCAGTTTCTGACCCCAGGTCTTGGTTTCCCCACCTAGCCAGGCGTCATCCTCCCTGTATCTCCTCCCCTACCTGTTGCACTGCAGGAGTCTGAGGGTGGCCTCTACATCTGCATGAACACATTCCTGGGCTTTGGGAAACAGTATGTGGAGAGACATTTCAACAAGACGGGCCAGCGCGTCTACCTGCACCTCCGGAGGACCCGGCGCCCGGTAGGCATGGAGCTGGGGCAAGGCCCGGGACTTTCAGGCACATCCCACTGGTCTTCATTTTGAATCTGTCTCTTCTGTTCTGACCTCCCAGAGGCTGCATTTCCCCCTCTCGCCTGTTTCTGTTGGTATCATTAAAACTCAAGCACACATGTTTTATTTAGCTTCACTCCCTTCTGAGATTAACCCACCCTGTCCTGTCCATCTTCCCCATTTGTCCCTTCCCTGGCACTCACTGCTGATCCCGCCCTTCCTGCCTCGTTGCAGAAAGAGGAGGACACCACGACAGGCACTGGAGACCCCCCGCGAAAGAAGCCCACCCGGCTGGCTATTGGTGAGCACCATTTCAGCCCTGTTCTTCCCGAGCTGGTCTTTCCTGGCCTCAGAGGCACTCGGAAGGCCCCCAAAGAATGGGCCTGACCAGTGGCCCTAGAGCTCTGGAGGGGACAAAACGAGATGCCGTTTGGGAGGAGGGACATTTACCCATGGTGGCTGTCCTACCCTCCTCCTTCTTCCCTGCCTCACCAGGTGTTGAAGGCGGGTTTGACCTCAGCGAGGAGAAGTATGAATATGATGAGGATGTGAAGATTGTTATTTTGCCGGATTACCTGGAGATTGCCCGAGATGGGTTGGGGGGACTGCCTGACATTGTCAGAGACCGGGTACGAATGCCTTCCTGCCCTGCCGGGGACTCTGGGGCAGGCAGGTCCAGAGCAGTGACGTATTGGGCAAGCACTGAGAAAGCTGGAGACTGAGGGGCTAGAGGGACTAGAGGGCGGGGGGTTGGGTCCCGTCTCTGACCCTCTGCTTCCCCCAGGTGACCAGTGCGGTGGAGGCCCTACTGTCAGCCGACTCGGCCTCCCGCAAGCAGGAGGTGCAGGCCTGGGATGGGGAAGTACGGCAGGTGTCTAAGCATGCCTTCAACCTCAAGCAGCTGGACAACCCTGCTCGAATCCCTCCCTGGTGAGGCCTGGCCCCTCCACCTTGGGGCACCACCCCCAGAGCAGGGGTAAAGAGGCCACTCTCCTGGGGGATCTGGTGGGAGAGAGCATCGGGAGCAGGCTAAGGCGGGGGGCGCTGAGGG